CATCTCAGGCATAGAGGAAGTCTGGGGATGAAGGGAAAAAAGCTGCTGGATTTTTTTAACTGTATTTTTTGTTTCATATGTTTACCCATAAACTTCCTGTCTTGTTCATTAGGTTTCTCAGCTTCCCCATGTTGTCCATGTATGAGACTGCAGAAAAAAAATAAAGAGCATTGATGTAGACAGTAGCTGAAAACCTTTTTTTGCTTTCCATAGTCAGTTCCATTAGAGTAGACCCATGAATCCCTTGGAACTGGTGAGTCAACTCCTCCATAAGCTCCATTGATTCAAATGGGTTGACTTAAGTTGGAACATCTTAGTAGGCCCATTTTAGTCTATGGAACCTGCAGAGGAGTTGACCCACCAATTCTCTGTTGATTCAATGAGCCCACTATAGTGTGACTTATTAATAAACAGCATTTCAGCCACTGATTTGACAGTTGACCTCCCATTACAGTTATGGCCTCTTTCCAAGGGTGAACAGCAAAATATCTGATGCCACTCCATTTCTGGGTCCAGGCCAGGTTTTAGCATGGCCTGCATTCCACCTAGTTCTGCCCAGTCCAGAATTCATTGTAGCAGGGCTACTTCTGTGGAGTCGGGTGGAGTAGGCAGATCAATTGTGTTCCAGTATGCAGAGGGTGATTCTGCCAGTCTGATTCTTGACTTGGTGGAAAACCTTGGACTGCAGGATGCCAATCCTGTATCCACTCCATAGGTACTGACTTTCATAAACAGAGAGAACCAAGTGAACTCTTGCCCAACAACCATGTCTGCAGAGAAGCCATAGGCAAGATGCTGTATCTTGGCACGATGACAAGACCAGATACCTCAGCAGCGGTGGGCATTCTCACTGACCCAAAGGGACTGGACTGGGATTAAGCAGGTGGTGAGAAATCTAAAGCAGTTGGGGAAGGGGGGCACTATGCTCACATGCATGCGTGAAGGGGTATGGGCACGCTTGCACGGCTGCTCGCTTGCACATATGTGTGAAGGGTGTGGATGCTTGCATGCATGTGTAAAGGGCACTCAGGGGCACTCGGGGGGCATGCGCAAGGGTGGGGGTGCTCACACTGGCATACATGCACTCGCATACATGCGCAATAGGGCTGTGCAGGGGGAGTGCATGCGGGGTGGGGTGGGTAGGAGATCTGTCTCTGCAGCCGGGTCCAGCCCAGGCCACACACCAGCATGGGGCCATAGACCGGGGGTTACGGACCCCTAATCTAAAGAGTCCTGCAGATTTAAATCTTAAATTAACATCCACAGAAAATCCTAGACTAGACGGGTTTACTCATGCAGATTGGGCAGAACACATCGCCTGATGCAGATTGGGCAGAAGACATAGCCGATCAGAAATCCACTGGTGGCTATGCTTTTTTCTATGGGAATGGACCTATGAGTTGGATTAGCTGCAAGCAAGGTCGCATAGCTCACTCACTCCAGAAGTGGAGGACATCTCAGCTGCAGCAGCTTGTGACAAGACTGTATGGCTCAAGCGCTTACTTGCAGACCTCAAAATCGATGAACCTACTCCAATTAGTGTTTTTGAAGATCATCAATGTTGCATCAGACTTTCTTTGTCAGAAAAGACAGGAGGGCACACGAAACACGTTCATGTTAAGCACCAAATCATAAGAGAAATGCATACAGAGGGATTGTTACAGTTGGAGTATTGTCCCTTTAAGGACATGACCGCAGATATCCTAACTAAGCCTTTAGCTAGGGATAGATTCCAACATCTCCCACGGAAATGAATCTGGTTGAATTTTCACACTGGCCCCAGCTGACCACCTTCCCCCACTTGTTTTCTTCCCTCCCCTCTTTTCCTCCATCCACTCTGGGATTAGTTGGTGCCATCTGTTTTTTTAATTATTATTATTATTTTAGGGTTATTGTTGTTGGCTTTAATATCTCTATATTTTATTTTGTTTACTAATTTATGAGTTGTAACCCGCCGAGAGTAATGCTGTGATACTAATGGGAGTGGGATACAAATTGAATGAATGAATGAATGAATGAATGAATGAATGAATGAATGGAACCAGAATGAAGATCATCTCAACCCCAAAGCTAATCTGGCAGCAAAACTCAGGTGTTCGCTTCCACTTGGCTGTGTCACCAGCTCTGCCGTGCTTCCTCTGGATCCCAAAAGGGCAATTTAACCCATGCCCCCCAGAAAGTGGGCTGCACCCGCTCCCCCCACCGAGGTTGCAAAGGCTTCTTCAGTTATTGGTGGAGGGTGGATTCTCTGACTGAAGGAAGGGTAAGTCTGGAAATGGTCCCCTGTTTCTGGGTCACCACGTGGAGGAGTAAAGGGCAGCGGTGTGGAAATGGGGGGGGTTGTATCCTTTAGTGCTGCTTCTGAATGCCACAGACTGGGGCTTGGGGACCTCTTGTGTTTTCTTCAGGCTGACTGTTAATCTAAAATCTTGGCAGGCCTTACTAAAACGATTCGTAAGTTGTTGGAGCTCTTCAGCAGAACGGGCAACAACAGCTGCATCATCGGTGAAGAAGAAGTCCCCCATGCATTTCAGCTGGAGTTTCGTCTTCGCTCTCAATCTAGAGAGATTAAAGAGCTTTCCATCTGATCTTGTCCAGACACAGAACACAGACATACACCTTCCTGCCAAGCACAAGGGAAACCGGCTGGGCTCTTTTCCAAGTCAAGGGAGTCTTCATAAATTTTCCCTTCCATGTCCTGAAAGGCTCAGTTCATCCCTTTAGATCACACAGAACCCACCCACCCACCACCAGAAGGATCTGCCCTCTGAGCCCCATCAAAGGGTCCCATGTAGAGAGGATCAAGAGTAATGTGAAAGGGGGAAACCAAAGGGACGTGGAGCTCTTCCAACCCATGTTCGCGGTTGGTTGGCACTGGAGAAAAAAGTCTATCCTGATCTGTTTCTCTTGCCTTTGGGGGGGGCACCTCCTGCAAACTTTGCCCCCTTTGGTTGGCACTGGAGGCAAAAAGTCTATCGTGATCTGTTTCTCTTGCCTTTGGGGGGGCACCTCCTGCAAACTTTGTCCCCCCTCCCTCCTTCCCAGGCCTGCCCTCTGCCCCTTGGTCCTGCCTCCCCCAATCACCCGTGTCCCCGCTCCCCTTAGACCAGAGGAGTCTGTTGACCAAACCCTGGACCCTCTCCCCACCTTTTCTGGGTCCAATGAACACATTGAACCTCCACTGCCTTGTGGCTATATCCACTCATGGAAAAGGCTTCAGGAGTTAACCTAGAGGCAAAATCCGGAGCTGGTATTTATGATAAATTTATGATAAATTCATAAATAGCCCTTCTGTGTCCTGAAAGGCTCAGTTCATCCCTCTAGATCACACAGAACCACCCACCCACCCAGTGGCTGAAATCAGTGGCTGAAATGCTGTTTCTTAATAACACTATAGTGGGCTCATTAAATCAACACAGATTTGGTGAGTCAACTCTTCTGTGGGTTCCATGGGTCTACTCTAATGCAACTTACTATAGAAAGCAAAAAAAAAGGTTTCACCTATAGTCTACATCAATGCTCTCTATTATTTTTTTTCTGCAGTCACACATGAACATCATGGGGGAGCTGAGAAACCTAATGAATAAGATAGGAAGTTTGAGGCTAAGATTGCTTTGTTCTGAAATACAAATCCCAGAACGCCTTGCAGATCCTAGAAAAAAATTCTCTGCAGCTGGCTCAGTTGAAGCTGGGAGTGATAAAAGAAGGGGGGAAAGCCGGAAATTGCAATTACCAACGAGGTTCTAGAAAGAAATAGGGACTTGCCATACAAGATTAGAACATTCCAGTGTTTGCTTCTGCCCTGTTTCTCCTTGTAGAACTTATCTCACTGCCTCAGGACTTTTTCAATTTATTTCCCCAAACTGGATGCTGGTCTGTGAGATTTCCTCAATCTGGGTGAGTTAAAGGAATATTGGAAGTTTCTTAGAGAATGGCTTAAGCCAGTGGTCTTCAACCTTGGGTCTCCAGATGTTCTTGGACTTCAGCTCCGAGAAATCCTGGCCAGAAGAGGTGGTGGTATAGGCTTCTGGGAGTTGTAGTCCAAGAACATCTGTAGGCCCAAGCTTGGGGACCACTTGCTTAAAAATAGGGGAATAAAGGCAGAAAGGGAGAAACTGTCTGGCTTCAATCTGGCCAGAATTCTGTGGAATCCTGGCCAGATGACTGATAAACATTCTGTCTCTAAAAGCCGGAGCTAAGAATTATCTTCTGAGGGATTCGTCCTTCGGATTTTTTGGACTCCAGGTCTCAGCATTCCGCAGTTCCAGACCAGAGACCCATCCTTTCGGACATGTATATTTCCCTCATCTCTTTCAGGGCCACTTAGGTTGTGTTCCTAGCT